AACAATGTCTTAGTTCCTAAAGCAGGCCTCTCTCTAACAATGTCTTAGTTCCTAAAGCAGGCCTCTCTCTAACAATGTCTTAGTTCCTAAAGCAGGCCTCTCTCTAACAATGTCTTAGTTCCTAAAGCAGGCCTCTCTCTAACAATGTCTTAGTTCCTAAAGCAGGCCTCTCTCTAACAATGTCTTAGTTCCTAAAGCAGGCCTCTCTCTAACAATGTCTTAGTTCCTAAAGCAGGCCTCTCTCTAACAATGTCTTAGTTCCTAAAGCAGGCCTCTCTCTAACAATGTCTTAGTTCCTAAAGCAGGCCTCTCTCTAACAATGTCTTAGTTCCTAAAGCAGGCCTCTCCCTCACTAACTCTTAGCCCCCACCTTTAAAATGATTTAAATTGTGACACATGCACAGTGTGACATGCCCAATAATATTCACCACTGGTGATACAGACTAGACCGATAATAATGAACTCTGTGTCTAAACTAACTGGGTAGTTGGGTGTTAGTTCTTTCATTTTTTCATTGTTTTGTTGGATAAGAGGTTAAGAAGTAAGAGATGTGCTATTACAATACATTTTTTACTTTTGTATCACAAACTCATGACATATTAGCACTGGAATAGCATCTACTGGCAAACCTGCTTTCAAAATGACACGGTTAAGTTTACCATTGCCAGAGCCTTTCCTTGAAATCTAACCCTTATTTATATTGACCAAGAGCAGGAGGTTTACACTGGAACACACGGAAAAAGCAATCAGTCAGCATTGTTGCTGTAAGAAATTAACATCAACAAAGTCATGTAAATCAGTGGCTGTCACAACGCTTTGCGGACCATTGTTAGCACTGACAGGGAATGTTTCAAATAATTTAAAAGGTGACTACTAAACTATTGTGCGTCAAGTGCTGTAAAATGTTCAATATATATGCATTACAAAAAACCAAAATCAAATACAATCAGGGTTATGAATGTAATTAATTAAACAAGGTTTGACCCCATCAGACTGCCAAATGAGAATCTCAAGTATATTTATTATGAATTAAACAGTCTAATAACATAGTACTTGCAGACATCATAAAATTACATCTACCAATATTTTATAACTACTTTTTAAAAATATATATATAATTTTAAAATATATTTAAGGGAGAAGTCATTTTGATTTGAAAGAACTGAATGCTTTTATCCTTAAACTGCCATGCTTCTGTATGAATGACTTGTGTTTAAAACTATGTTTGACTTTGACATAAAATGTCTACACATCAAGTGATAACTAATCTAAAGCTTATCAACTGGATTTTCCAGTCTATTGATTTTTTCAACATACCCTCCCCCCCCTTGATTTAACTCTACAATACTACCACAACNATGACTTGTGTTTAAAACTATGTTTGACTTTGACATAAAATGTCTACACATCAAGTGATAACTAATCTAAAGCTTTTCAACTGGATTTTCCAGTTTATTGATTTTTTCCACCCCCCCCCCCCCCCACTTGATAAATATATTAAAAACAAACTGCTGCTGTTAAATGCACCTATATCAATATCAAACATACTCTGCCTAGCTAAAGGTTCTTTCTTGAGCTACCTACTGCTGACACAAGATTTAACTACAGACAGATAAGAGAACCAATCAAATCACTAAGATTTGATCAACTTACACACATGCCATCTGCATGTTTCTGTATGAAAACAGTGGGAGGTGTTAAGTCTTTAGGAACAGCAAGTTAAATCGGATATGGTTTATTTTTTGCCACATTTTCCACTCGGGTTGTACATGATAACTCTCATCCCAAACGGATGTGCGCTTGCACTTACAGCATGCACAGTTTCAAAATTAATCATTTTATTATTGTAGCTTATATGTTTGTCTAGCTACGGAGAGTTTAGCCGTATTTATAGACACGGTAAAACAAAAACATGACACTTCATATTGACCAAAGAAAGGGTCATGTTTGTTTGAGCTTTCTCCAACCATTCAAATTTAGGTCACTTAGTTTTAGTCACGCTGAGAAAGATGGGAAAATTCATTCAAGAAATGTTTACTAAACGCCTTCATAAATAGGTCTAAAATAACAGTGCTGATAGAAATTCAACAAATGGTGCTTTACATGGCAACAGGAGGATTAAAAATAATTGTTACTTGCATGCAATCAGCTGTTAGCATTCTCTACTTGAATTATGAAATGCTTCCACTTGGGGGGGGGGGGGGGGGGTTGGTTTTTAAAAACTTTTTTTAACCTTAGGACATGGTTTAATCAACAGTCACTACGGATGACCCCGGTACCCTTTGCAGATCCCCAGCTGTGATTATTTGGAATGTAGTTAGAAAATATGTACAAAGATTAAATGCCGTTTACATAACAAATGTCAACAATGGACAGTGTACATGACGTTCCACTGATTAAATACATAACTGTAGATGATTTAAGAGCAAGTCTTGTCTCTGCCATGAATGCTTTGTGTGTACCACCCAGTGTCTTTTATCAAATCAGTCAATAAATACTGGAGGTCCCAAAATACAAAAATAATTGGCCTTAAGTAGGTATAAAAAAATGTCAAACAAATCCACGAGCAGAGGCAATGAAATGAGGGCAGGTTGGCGGTCAAGACGTGGTACTCCCTGAACTGCAGGTTGGCGGTCAGACGTGGTACATCCTGGACTGCAGGTTTGATGGTCAAGACATGGTTTACCCTGGACTGCAGGTTGATGGTCAAGACGTGATATACCCTGGACTGCAGGATGCACTGTGCATGATTATTCCACAGTTCAACTCTGCGCTGAATTTCAGACTTATCACAAGAGCAACCTAACTTCTTATCACAGACATTCCAGGTCAAAACACTTCTGTTGGGGAAACTATTACATTAAAGCCCAATGGCAAAGCTGTTAACTTAGAACAAACTGACAAAATGATTGACTTTTAAACCATACTTTTTTTGCTTAAAGTTAAACTGCATAATTAGGGTTTTTTAAATAAACAAAATACATTATAATTAAAATGAGAAAAAAAACACACCAATAACAGCAGTTCACGTTTTCACTCCTCACATTAACAAAGCTTAAAAAAAATAAGTAATTTGAATTAAATTATTAAATAAAGAATTAATGAAAAATAAACACCCTAAGATTGCTAAGACGTTACACAGATTCTATATTTTATAAGACGAATACTTGTAAATAAACATATAAATATATTTTGGGGTGTTGTCACGTCACAAGAACGAAGTCTTTCCCAGGCAATATTGTAAGGCGTGAAGTTGTTAACGCGTTGAGATAAGAGAAAGGTAAGAAAAAGAAGAAAAAAAATTCATGCCTATTCTCTCTTTGTAAATACTCAGAATTGGAATGTTTATTACAATGGCCAAAGAGTTGGTTACATGTTCTGCAAAAAAATACCACTGAAGCTGCCATGAAATCCTCCACCTTGTATTGGAATAGTATGGGAATAACTACATCATCACAAAAAAAGAGCAAGAGAAAAATGTAGGAATAAGCAACTGGGGACTCTTTAACGGCAAGACAGAATTGTATGGGGGGAACAAATCAGGAAAAGGGGGGTTGGGTTGTTGTAATAAATCGTGAGGGGAATGTAATTCGTACAAGCAAGTACATAACAAAAAAGGTAGTGATACAAGTGATGAATAAAAGATGTATCTAGATATATATATATATTATATATTGTAAGAGAGATATGAAAGATCTGCTGGTTAACACACACAGTATATGAGATATAGAGCTAGTAGCTTTCATGGTAGAAATATGCTTTCAAAAGGCACAGTGTCTTGGATTAATGTGATGTATTCTGCTATTTTAAGCTTGTATCCTACATTTAAGAAACCAGCACTAACAAAAAAAAACACAAAAAAAAAACAATTGAATTTTACGAAATCCTCTAACTAAATCTCCACAAAATTAAAAAATCAGATGGAATGGAAACATTATGGCAACAGTGCTTCAATTATCTCATACAAAACTAACAGTGGAACAAAGTTGAACTGATAGACAGTTAAATATAATAAAATATTAAGTCATGCCAAATTCCTGTTTTGCTTATAATGTTATCGATAATATATAGAAAGATCATTCTACTTGCCAAGAACAACTGCCAGAAATAATAACATAAAATATAAATTTACAAATTTGGTGAAAATGCAATGTAAGATTATACAAGAGGTGCCATGCTCTGTATAGTATAAATTAATCATATATAAATTTGTATAGCATTCATTAATCAAACAATTGACATAACATGAAGCATATGCTGCTTTAGGTTGTAGGAAGTGAAACCACATAATTTCTCAGTGGTTTCAGTGAGCCCACAATATTTCCCCGCCATATATTTAACTACATCTCATTGTTAATAAAACCAATGTATAACACAGGTGCATGAAACCATTTTATTCCAACATTACCTAGAAGATTTTTTTTGCCAATAAAATTATTCAAATTTCTTTCAACAACTTCAAAATTGAGGATGTTACTGCAAAGTTCCATAATTCAGGAACGAGTGCAGATGATTTTCGATTGAGGATTTATCGCTTGTTTTCAACATTGGATATACAGAAGGGGGATGGTGCGTTAATTGCAGGATATGAAGCAAGGTAATCCTAATAGTTGAAACATGCCCCTGATCTTCCAGTATTTAAATTCATTGTCTGACATAAATGGGGTGAAGTTCAATGCAGCCGACACAAGCAGATTCAAATATTTTTGCTTAAAAAAAAAAGATATCAGAAAATTTCAGCCCCACTCTTATGGTAATGGTACCACCTGTCTTATTATGCACAGCTCATGTTTATTGTTTTTAGCAGTTACTCTATGTAACACCCGGCGTGCCATTCTCTAAACAAATCATCAAATAAAAAAAATAAAACAGCCCAACTTAAGATTTACGTTTGATAAAATGGTCTCGCAACTCAAAGAGTTAATGATTCATAAAAAAAAAAAATTATAATACATAGGTTCAGATTAATTAATATTGGCACATCTTTATCTCAAGCAGTCTCACATCCTCTGAAATTCTTTGTACTTCTGCTCAAATGAAATTTTATTCATTCTCGGGTCTTGCTTTTTCTTGGCTTTGAGCCTTTCCTTCATCTCAGCCACCGAGAGATTGAGTGGATCTTCTGTACCTGTACTCACGGCTGCTGGCTCCTTGTGTTTCACTTCTTTGGTGGCCACAGTGTACTCGGGTTCAGGTTCCTTGAAACGCAGTGAAAAAAAAAAAAGGGAAACCTTATGTACCATACTATCTATTCCATTGTATAAATCAATTAAATCAATCAAGTTTTTGAACAGATGCACCAGTGGAATATTTTATGTAGTTTTTCACACTGCATCTCCTTCAAATATGGGTTAGGCTTCAACTATCATAAAATATCTCATTAGCATAAATGTTCAAATTTTTGTTTGATTCATAAAGATCATGAATGAACTAATTTGAACTAAAAATGCCCTACAAGAATACATATATTTTTATATTTGTAAAGCAATTAGTTAATTTTTTTGTAAATGTTCTAGCAATATGAGTGCCGAGCTTGTAAAAAGGGGCTCCTTCTTCTTGGCATCGACACTCCAAAAAGTTCCACCTCAAAAGGGTTCAACAAAGGTTTTATAGAAAAATAGCCCTACTAAGTTTTGAAACATGACATTTATTAACTGCCATACATATGAACAAGCTTAACAATATATCTCTTTTGTAAAGGGTAATAGAGTGTGCTTGTAATTTATTAGATGAATGATATAATCGACAAAACAATTGGGTTCATTGAGATTACCGTTATAAATCTATAACATTTAATTCCTAACTTTTATCTTTCATCAATAAGATAACCAGTATAATGACATAAGAGTCTTTCAATCTACAATGTAACAGTTGAGCCAAAACTTTAATAATTCTTAAAGTGGGAACTTACTGGTGAATGGGATTTCACTCCATTGTTTGTTATTTCTGCAAGGGACAAAAAGACAAAAATTAATTTGAAGTTGATGCAATTCACCATCATAACCTTTATTGATCAATACAATTTTAATTAATAAAAATCAATAAAGAGTAAAAGAGCTCCTGTAAAAATAATTGAACAAGGCACATTTTTTTCAATAATCTGTTATTTACTTGAACTTATTGATTGTTATTTTAAAGGTTTGCAATCTATGTGCTAGGAATTAGAGAGAGAAATAAAATGCCATTAAAAAACCAATTACCTGATGCATCTGGAGTTGTTAAGTGTTGAGTTTGTGGCATACTTGATGAAACTGTTATCCCTTTCTCCCTGTAATATTTATCAGTCTCACGATCCACAACCAACAATCTAGTTTCCCCAGGAATGGCCTTGATCCTGGCAATGACATCTGTGTGAGTTTCTTTCTCTACATTAACACCGTTGACTTCAACTATTCTGTCATTGACAAGCAGACCAGCAGTGCTTGAAGGTGAATCCTCATCAACGAGGCCAATGTATTGTCCTGGCTTGTCTCTCTCGGCATGAAGATTAAAGCCATAGCCCTGTTCAAATTGATAGTTATATAAATTTATGAAAGTCCGACAAAAACAATGGACTTGCTGAAAAGATTACATCATGCAGCAATAGTTACTTTACAATTAGAAAGAGCTAGCTTGTCAATTTTTTCAGTACTTCACAACCAATGTTTGAAAATAAATTTTTTTCCAATATGAAAACTACTCTGGGTTTGAAATTGAAAGGATCAAGGATTCTACAGCATTTTGGTTTATTGTTATAAAAAATACTCTGCTTAATTGGGGGGGGGGGGGGGGGGGAGGGGTGGGGAGGAGGACAAGATTTCTAACAAAGCATATTCCTAAATTAAATTTCATACAATTCCATAAAAATACTAAATGCTTCCCTCCACATTGTTGAAATTTTTACCAGTAAATGACCAGGCGATTTTTTAAGTGAGTTATGGGGAAACTATCTTATTATACCTGAAAATGTGGCCATAGTTTTAAGTGACACAACCTTGGTCTATGAAAGTTATCTTCTTCACTATTTCCATTAGAAACTGGCCTTGTTGGTGCAGCAGTGAATGAAATATGTTCCTCACTGTCTGGTGTCTGCGGTGTCTGAGGACGTTCATATTCTGGAGCTACAATCGAACATAAAATAATTGAATTAGACTACAACCAAATGTTTCCTCTGTTAATTATTTAAATTTAGGATAATGGAGGTTAAGATAGTGTGCTTAGGTAAGTATCAGTTCTGATTATTATATTTATTATAGTTAGGTGAGTCTATCCGACTTGTCAATCTTGATTTAAGTTTGTAATATTACAAGTTATAAGGCCTAACAAGAAATAGTACCTAGGCCTAGGGTTGCCAACTCGATCCATTATATTTACAGACAATTTTATAATTTACAATTAAGCTATACTGTATTTAAAATTTTCCATTTTCACAGACCCATTTTTTAATATTCATTAAAAAAAACAAAAACAATTGAAATATCTGTAAAATTTGACTGTCTTTATTGTTATGTATTGCATGCCACACTCATCAGTTTATAATTTTATCCTATTTATTAGGGTTGATAGTATATAGGTTCAAAGCAAGAAGGTTTTAAAAAAATAATTCACAAATGCTGAGAATTCCTGCCATGTTCACTTCAAATGCTTTAAGGAAAATAATTTCTAATTTTTATTGGATTTCCTAAAAGTTTTTATGAGCTTTCACAGACAAGTTATTTTGGCTCTAATTTGCACAGAATATCCTTAAATTTATTGTACCGTATCAGTTATTAGACTGAGGTACTACCCATTCAGTCTTTAGCCATAGAAGGTTAAGTAAGGTAAAGATTGGGTTAGCAGTATGGGTTTTACAAAGAGTAATCTCACCCTTATACCTAAGTGCAGTGACATCACTTTAGTAGTATTAGTAGGGAATCCAAAAACTTGTCTTAGGGTGACAAGACCAATAGTTGGACCTGAACAATATGTAGTGATAACTTTTCCGCTCTTCAGCGCATTATTCGTGTTATAAACTATGTATGACAATCAATAAAGCATTTATGAAATATTAAAAGGAAATTCTCCATTTTAATAAATATTCATCTTACAAGGTTCAAGAGAAAAGAAAATCATCCTTGCTGATGCCCCAAAGTGCCCAAAGACATGCATTACTAAGAATGAGAATGTTGTCTTTTTGATTGGTTGAAAAAAAGAAGTCCATCTATGCCATTCATTTCTATCATATCACTATAAATTTCAACATAATTTCTGGGGAGGGGAGAAACCCCCCCCCCCCTTTCCAATATAATAATACGAAACAAATAATTTTCTGGGGTGAGGAGGCCCCTCCCCGGAGTCAAAAATAAAAAAAAGGGGGAAAAAATTGTATAAATACAGAGTTAAAAATTGAAATATTTTGAATACAGAGCTATAGCCGGAAGTTGATCTGCCCAACCTCCATGGGCTATAGCATATATCCTGGAAGTCATCACTAGCCTTACCGCTAACCCAATCCTAACCGATAAAGTAAAATACTATAATAGGTCTATTAACTAGTATTAACTATGGTACCAACCATAATACATGTCACACACTATTGTCAGCTTTTTAGAGCCCCCCCCCCCCCATGTCACAAAATTTAGACACCCTAATAACAGTGTCACAAATTTATGCTTTACACATGCTTAAAATTACAAGCATAGTAATAAATAGTTGTGATAATTATTAATAATTAATAATTTATATGGATGTCCCCAATTTATTTTAGGCTTTACTGAACTATCAATTGTATGAAACAATTGTAGTATAAACATAAATAATGACAATTTATGAAATATGAATATTGCACACCTTTACTTTTATGATGGTGATCTCTTTCAGCAGTGAGAAATTTAACTTCTGGCAGGTCTCCCCTCACAACCTTCTTTTGGTCCTTGTACCAATTATCAGTTTCATTGTCAACAACTAAAAGTCGAGTTTCCTCTCCTCCTGATTTTATTCTTGTCACCACTTGTTGGTGATTTTCATTGCCAATGTTAATGCCGTTGACCTCAACGATTCGGTCACCTTCTTTCAGACCTGCAGTCTCAGCGGGTGAATTTTCGTCAACTTTACCGATAAATTGACCTGCTTTTCCTTTCTCAGCATGCAAGTTGAAACCATAACCCTGAAACTCTGGCCATTTAACAACATGACAAAGCCTAGGACGATACTTATCTGGTACGTCTTCACTCATTTTGACAATACGTTGAAAAGTATTTCTTTTTCTTTTTAATCTGACCGATTCTCTCTTGAAGGTACAACGCCCAGATTTACTACTCTAAAGAAGACGGAAATAATATGGCGAATAAGGAATTGCTAAATGGCCAGATAAACGTAGGACAGTCAACTTATACAAAATTATTATTATATTTGTAATGAGCAGCTGCGGCATACAATTCTTTTCCTTCTCCTTGACTGTCAACAAGAAAATATATAATTGTTTAATACAAATAGTGAAACTGAAAAAAATCCACTCTACTTTAAAGGTTCTTATTTGAATTAAGGTGTTGATGAAACACTGCAGTGCCTCAGTGCGTCAAATAAACTTGCATCTTATATAGAACGAAATTATTCCATAGTCATACCATTTTGATATAAAATTTCATTTACCGGACTATAGAAATGGACATAACTTTAATGAGATTAATATAATCATTATTTTGATATCACATATATTTTAAACAACATTCAGGATAATCCAAATCGGTATAAGTGAAACTTAAGCCCGGGGCTCTCAGATTGTGTATTGTTGCTCCAGTGACCCGTGTCTTCTTAAAACGGGGTTGAAGGCGTACTATTTCGAAAAGGGTTTGGGCTTGGGCGAAAATTTTAAACTTAATATTTGCCTTTAATTTGTGTGTGCATACATATTTTGACATAAAATTGAATGGAATAAGAGTTGTGTTGATATCTTTTAAAATAAAGTTGTCCACAAAATATTTTTATACAGACTGCAGGGCTTATTAGACTTAGGACTTATTGACTTATTGCTTGGGGGACATGCAACAAAGATTATGAAATTCACTGGTTTGCAACTACCAAAAGCCAATTCATGCCTATATCCATGTCCATGATCCTTGTTGGTCGATCTGTTAATACATTTAGAGGGTTCCGTAAAGTTTTATAGGAAAATCTAGCCTTTTGCTTATATCTCAATGTTACAAGTACCACAAAGCATTATCGTTAATTATGATTGTTATTTCTATCAATAATTGTCGATCCAATAATTTATGTAATCATTACCAACAGTGTGAGGGGATAAGGGATTTTTTTACTCTCAAATACTCAGTGCTTATGAGTCACAAAATAAAAAAAATAAAATTCTGTATTTGAGTTCATGACATGAAAACATCAGAACCCCTGGACTGTTTCTCTAATGTTTCTGATACTTTTTTTAAACTTCAAAATTAAAGAATGTGTTGATTCACTTATGGCAATAACATGGGTCAAATACCCAGTTCACACGATCCCTTTTTTTCTTCAAATTTTTGTATGATCGCATTATTTTGTGTGTGGTTTTTTGGGGGGACAAAAATGAGAAATGGATAAAATATTATGTTGGATGCGATAACCAATCGCAGCATTACTTTTTTTGTCCACGTGACAATATTGACAATTCAGTAGTTTTAGTTTATCTTCTTTATTTATCAAAATGGCAGCCACTGAAAGTAAAATACATTTTAATACGATTAACATATACAGTAGCCTAAAAATATTCGACTGCCTCTCGGCCTGTTGGCTAAGATCAAGATGCGGTGTCTGTTCTTATCCCACTGGGTTACCAAACCTGGTTGGGTGAACGGGATATCTCGCTTGTTTCTTCAGCCTGGCTGGGTGGGGACGATCGGTAAGAACAATAAAGAGAGCCACAAGGCCAAGATAACCCCACAAAAAAAAAAATCAGATTGCCTCTCAGCCTGTTGGCTAAGTTCAGGATGCGGTGTCTGTTCTTATTCCACTGGGTTACCAAACCTGGTTGGGTGAACGGGATATCTCACTTGTTTCTTCAGCCTGGCTGGGTCGGGACGATCGGTAATAACAATAAAGATCAGATTGCCTCTCAACCTGTTGGCTAAGTTCAGGATGCGGTGTCTGTTCTTATCCCACTGGGTTACCAAACCTGGTTGTGTGAATGTGATATCTCACTTGTTTCTTCAGCCTGGCTGGGTCAGGACGATCAGTAATAACAATAAAGAGAGCCACAAGGCCAAGATAACCCCCAAAAAATCCTATTGCCTCTCAGCCTGTTGGCTAAGTTCAGGATGCGGTGTCTGTTCTTATCCCACTGGGTTACCAAACCTGGTTGGGTGAACGTGATATCTCGCTTGTTTCTTCAGCCTGGCTGGGTCGGGACGATCGGTAAGAACAATAAAGAGAGCCACAAGGCCAAGATAACCCCACAAAAAAAATCAGATTGCCTCTCAGCCTGTCGGCTAAGTTCAGGATGCAGTGTCTGTTCTTAACCCACTGGGTTACCAAACCTGGTTGGGTTAACGTGATATCTCGCTTGTTTCTTCAGCCTGGCTGGGTCAAAACGATCGGTAAGAACAATAAAGATCAGATTGCCTCTCAATCTGTTGGCTAAGTTCAGGATGCGGTGTCTGTTCTTATCCCACTGGGTTACCAAACCTGGTTGGATGAATGTGATATCTCACTTGTTTCTTCAGCCTGGCTGGGTCGGGACGGTCGGTAAGAACAATAAAGAGAGTCCTAGGCCAAGATAACCCCACAAAAAAAAAATCAGATTGCCTCTCAGCCTGTTGGCTAAGTTCAGGATGCGGTGTCTGTTCTTATTCCACTGGGTTACCAAACCTGGTTGGGTGAACGGGATATCTCACTTGTTTCTTCAGCCTGGCTGGGTCGGGACGATCGGTAATAACAATAAAGATCAGATTGCCTCTCAACCTGTTGGCTAAGTTCAGGATGCGGTGTCTGTTCTTAACCCACTGGGTTACCAAACCTGGTTGGGTGAACGTGATGTCTCGCTTGTTTCTTCAGCCTGGCTGGGTCGGGACGATCGGTAAGAACAATAAAGAGAGCCACCCCCATAAAATCCTATTGCCTCTAGGCCCATTGGCTAAGATCAGGATGCGGTGTCTGTTCTTATCCCAACAGGTTACCAAACCTGGTTGGGTGAACTTGAAATCTTGCTTGTTTCTTCAGCCTGGGCCTGGATCTAGACGATCTTTAAGGACAATAAAGAGAGCCGCCTGCAAGACCAAGATACCGGTACCAGAAAGGGCAGACTTTGAAGAGGGACTACCCCAGTATTGCAGTACTTCTAGGGGAACTCAATCACACAAAAAAAAGACACGACATGGCATGGTCAAGTTTCTCACATCTTCGAAGGTTAAAGACCATAACTGATAACCAAAAACATGGGATAATTGAAATTTCACGACCAGAGGCCTGAAGGATTGCTCTGAAGACCAGACACTGAGAGTATGAATGGCAAGTCTTTACCTACTAAACTTACTTAACACTAATAATACATTCCTATCTTTACAGTAATTGCACTCTTTACTAGTCTTTAGTCTTTACCATTATAAAATTACAGCCCCAATATTCACAAAAGATATTAAATAAATAATAATATACTGGTATTCATTGTACTCTTATTCATATTTAAAAGTATTCATAGCATAGACAGAGGACATTTTTCAAATAAATGAAAAATAACTTTTATATCAGTCACACTGAATAGACCTACTTTAAATAGCCATGCCCATAAAAAAGCCCATATGAACATAAGACTATGTCAAATTTGTGACAGTAGATTTAAGTATGTAACACTATTTTGAGTCAAAATAAATTAGGATAAGGAATAAAACAAATATGCCTAATAATAGAAATATTTATAATTATAGTAATAATAAATACTTAATTTCATTAGGCTATCTATTAATATTATGGTAGACCTAAATTATTTTTGTATATGATATGGCAGGTCTGCACAACTCGAACTGTAAGGCGGGCCGAAATATTTTATGAAAAACCTGTGTGGGCCAAAAGAAAATAGGAAAGGACTTGTGCGGGCCAAAAGAAGATAGGACAGGAGGGAAAGATATTAGGAAAAGAATAAGGATAAAGAATATTTTGTTTCTTCGTGGGCCACAAAGTGGTTGCTGGCAGACCCCATGTGGCCCGTGGGCTGTATGTTGTGCAGGCCTGTGATATGGTATAATATAGCCTAGGTTAATAATTAATTTAATAATATATAATATAGCATTGATGGGCCTGTGGCCTTGCCAAAAAGACACTAAACAGAAATTGAACACACATACAAAAATCCAACCATGCTATGAGTATGACTAGTAGTAATACTAGGCCTACTAGTAATTACTAGTATGAGTTTGATATTCCTAATTAAATTTACTCCATATTAGTTATTAGTAGTATTACTATAACGTCGCCACATTATTCCATCAGCTATGTTGTTGCCCCACTCATCTACGTTGCCCTTCCATTCTGTCAGCTATGTTGTTGCCCCACTCATCTACGTTGCCCTTCCATTCTGTCAGCTATGTTGTTGCCCCACTCATCTACGTTGCCCTTCCATTCTGTCAGCTATGTTGCTGTGACTCTTCTACCTGTTATGTATCAATATTTCACTACATATTTAATGATGCCAGTCTTCTGCCCTCATCATAGTTGGTTTGTCTTGCAGGTATGAGACAAGACTAAACTTTCACTCGAAGAATTAAAGATGGTGAAGGCGGAGAGTAGCTGCATCATGTTGGAGAGAGAACAGCAACAACAGTGGTACAAGAAATGTTTTGATGAGATATCAAATCAGGTGGTCCAGGTCCTGTTGGCTCACAAGGTAGATATCTTAAAAATGTGGGTTCCTGTACCTCATATGTAGCTCTACTTGTCAGTTTAATAAATTTAATATGATCTATTTATAACTTATTATAAATATCAATACACTGTTGGTCAATAAATATTGTTCAGTTTCAATTTTTCCTTTAAAAGATATAAAACTTAATATATGCAGTACTTTTTCTATTGAAGATTTTATTGACATTTCATGACTACAGATAAAAGGAAATCAAATTAACCCATTCTTGCCTAATTTGCCCTCCTGGATAGGCAATGGCACATAACTCAATTTTGAAATGTAAATTTAATTTTCAAAAAAGAAGAAGAAAAATATAGAAAATACACATTAAGCCATTTCATTTTATTGAAATTTTATTAAATATAAAAATGAATGAGTTGTACAAATCATGATAAAAAATAAGATTATTCAGAGAATAACATTTTAATAATAATATCTGAAGTTGACTATCACAAACTGTACACAAATTTTCCTGTCTGGTGCACTTTTGGGGAATTTAATTTTTCAAGCTATTGAATGATTTTACATATTTACTTTAGGCCCTTATTTACACATATGGAGTGATCATTTTTACCAAGTTTTAAAAAAAAGTCTTTTAATAATAAATTTGATACATTTAAAAAAAGTTTGGGAAAATTAATTGGTAACTTTTTGGGCATTTTAAAACTTATTTTTAAACTATTATATGAAGATTGTGTTCATTGGACATTTTACATTTTGATAAGTTGATTTGAGAAGTTTATTTCATACATATTTTTAGTAACAAAAGAATTAATAAAATGACCTCTTTGGCCAAATCATTAACTCAACTTTATGGGGAAAATTCCTATTTTTGACCAAATTATTAACTCAACTTTATGGGGAAACTCTTATCTCTTTGACCAAATCATTAAATCAAATTTATTGGGAAATTCCTATAAACTCCTATCTCTTTGACCAAATCATCAACTCAACTTTATGGAACTCCATTTCAGGGGACAACTTATTGTGACAAAGCTAAGATATAATTTCTTTGAAAAATTATTTTGAAGGAAGCACAACGCCCTAACTGCAAATATTTTAACAGCCTTTCAAATGTATAAATTCATGTGAAAAATATGTTTTTTTAATGATAATTTTTTTTATTTTCTTCTAAGTTAATACAAGAAGAAGCTGTGCTTACAAGTCAAGTATATGTATAGACTGCTTACATATCTGAAGTGGAATCTTATTGGAAGAAGACTCTAATCTTGATCATGGACAAGAAAGTACCATGTTAGTTATCTTAAATTTTTAACATATTTAAATAGAAAATGTTATACATATTTAATGCCATTTTTTAAATCTTTATTAATATCCTGAAATGTTAATAGCTTTTAAATTGTTTTCTAGATTCAACTGTAGAGAAAACTTTAAGCCTACACAGCTACCCAAATTGGATGATCCAGCACAAGACACTGTTCACTGTTGAATCCAAAAACAGATCAACCAGCACCAACCATTGATATCAAGAGATAGAACAACTCACCAGCTGCTGGTTTCAACTTTCAGGGTTTAAAGTGAATATACATTTTTACTTAAAATAAATTAAGTGCACTTAAAAATAAAAAAAAATTCAAGTGTAAAATAAAATAAGAAAAGTTAGGCATTAATGCTCTATCCAAAAATGTTTCATGTAGGCTGTAATATAATATTGTTTACCTTATAACTTTGGTGTGCTGCTTATAGAATTCCATATAAAAGTAAAATAAATAATCAAAATTAAGTCATAAACAGTTTAAACACATGTTACTGTTAGAGACCGACCGCATTTCAGCTTCGGGGCCAAAAGTTGCCATTTGATCCCTTTTGGCCTAGTTTCGGTTTCGGCCGAAATTGAAAAGTTAACTTTCAGTTTAATTTAGGTTTCAGCCGAAACTGAAAAGTTAAGTTTCGGTTTACTTTTGGTTTCGGTCAAAAGTGAAAAATGCCTTCAGTCTTCTACCAGATGTCAGATTGTCACTCTGTCTGATGGCTGGCAATCCGATATTAATTATTGTTTGACGTATGGCTGTCATCGGTAATATATAAAAAATAATTTGTGAACACTGTTCACAGCTGCATGATGACTGACTTGTCCAATATTTCAAGAAATGAAATAAGGCAAAAGGAAAGGTTAATAGTTTCGTGGAAAAAAAAAACTATGGGGAATGGTAATATTTACATTATTATTTTTTATTTATTTTTTAAAAATAAGGAACACTAGTTTTATTCAAGCCATTTATTTTTTAAATCAATTTTGATTTATCATTATCTTGCTCCTAGATGTAGTCATAGTCAAAGGTAACTAGCATTGTGAAAAAAAATCATCAACATTCATCGTTATCGTGCTCATAAATGTTTTCACTGACAACGAAATAAAAGTTTTAAATATCATCACATCAAATTGGTCAAGTGTGAAGTGTATGGAAACAAATGTAAAGAAAGACAAGAATGAACCTTTAGTCATATTTTTAAAAATAATTAAATATCATTACTTTTTCATTGTGATTATTAGGCAAAAGTAGCATTTAATTTAAATCATACACGTGTGTGTATAACTGTTTCGTAAAATAATTATGTTATGGGACTGTAATATCAAACTAAACCGACATTCCCTAAACTTTTGTTCAATCTAGGTCAAATCTAAAATTAGCTGACCAATGATAATTGCAGATAAACAAACAATTTCAGGTCGCCCAATAAGAACACAAGTTTTAACCAGAAAATGTATGGGTTCTTGGAAGAAAAGAGTTTCTTCATGTCTTGTTTGTGGACGTTTTATTGGGCGATACCATTAAGCAATAGATAGCCTAAGCTCTCAAGCAATTTAAGACGAATAAAAATTGCCACTAAAGTTGTTCCATCAATTTTGGCGGTGAGCAGAACGTGTGCGAAAACGAGTATTGAAATATTTAAATATTTCAGTTTCGGCTGAAACTGAAAAGTTAAGTTTCGGATTACTTTCGGCAGAAAGTCATTTTTAACTTTCGCCGAAATCAGAAAATCACTTTCGGTCATTCTCTAGTTACTGTATTGCATTCCCCCCCTCTGGTACTTTGATCTAAAATGTAACTTTTTTTTAAAAACCTGCAGAATGCCTAAATCAGAAAGACCAAGGACATGAGCATTGGAAGGACTCATTGGAGTGTGAGGGACTAAGTACATGAGCATTGGAAGGACTCATTGGAGTGTGAGGGACTAAGTACATCTTGGTGTCAAGATTAGGAGCTGATTGAAACCAAATAATTGCATTCATTACATTGACAGTGATATATATATAAGTATGATTTTTACACTAATTCAGTGGCTCTCAACCTGTGGGTCGAGACTCCCTAGAGGAGCGGTGTCATATCAATCGCTCGGCGGGCCAAAACTCAAATCACACGTAAGGTTGCGGGCTGAACAGGATAAACATTCAATAAGCGTAAAATTAAACCTTTTTTAAACATTAATATAAATTAAAACAGAAAAAAGTTTTGATAATTAAAAATCGTTGGCATACCCATTTTTGTTCTGATGCCAATATTTTCTTGGCTACAACTTCGTTTATGTTGGGAATAATGTTTTGTCATTGAGTTTTTCATGATGGACTACAAGTGTTCATCAGTGAGACGACTCCTGTGTGATGTTCTGCTAAGCTTCATCACAGAAAACAGCTGCTCACACATTTTTGTGCTACCCAACATGCTCAAGGTTTGAGCCGCATGTAGACGAAGCTGGGGCATCTCTTCAGGAATGAAACAAGTGAACTGTGCAGGCCCCAAGGTGTTGCACTTTAGTGTCCCATTACACTGCATATCTATTAGCTCCATTTGCAAATTTACTAATGCAGTTTCCACGTCTATGACTAATGTATGAAACTGCTCGAAATTATTTTTATGTGCTTCAAAGTCGCTAAAGGGCCGTGTGAACTCGGAGAGAAGTAAACTAAGGTATTCAGCAAAGTGTGCATTGGAAAACACCTTAGCGTTGATTTGGTTCAACACTACTTGGCAATAAGAAAAGTGAGACAAGTTGCATTGGTGTATGTGTGTTCCCATAAGGGCAGCTTCACTTTAAATACCTTCACTGCATCATGCAAATCAGGGATCAAGTGGTCCCGTCCCTGGAGCTGCAGGTTCAAGTCGTTGAGATGAGTGGTTATGTCAGACAGAAACAGCAACTCACATTTCCACTTTTTATCCCGAAAAACTGTGTTGTCTTTTCCTTTAGTGTCCATGAATTGACAGATTTCTTCAATCTGCTAAAAAAATTTACTAAGACCTTTTCCCAGACTTAACCACCGCACCTCTATATGATAAGGCATGTCTTCAAACTCTTGAGTCTATTTCCTGCAAAAAAAGATCGAAATCGGCGTTGGTTTAAACCTTGGCTTTGATAAAGTTGACAGCTTGTGTTACAGTGCTCATTACACCTTCAATTTTGATAACTTTACCACACAGCGATCCATGGTGTATTATACAGTGAGGTGCTATCAAATTCACCAGTACATTTCATTTGCATCGTTCATTGGATCCTTCCAAATAGTCCACTTTTTTTGCCGCACATCGCCTGTGCTCTGTAAGTCCAACAAGTTGGTTCCAAGGCAGGTTCATGTTGTTTAAACTTTGACATACGTTGTCAAAAATGTATTTTCATGTCGTTGTCCCATGCATTGATTTCATGTCCAATATTTCTTCTGTGACATTCAAATTGGAGTCCACTTCACTGATGAAGATGGTGAGCTGTGCAGTGTCAGTCCTGTCATTACTTTCGACATCAAGTGAGAATTCAACTAAGTCTGTGTCGTTTTCGATCAGCTGTGTTTTCAAATCAATGGCCATCTCAGAAACCCGATCAGCTGATAAGTAGAATTGTTATCTCAGATAATATGGCAGTGTGTATTTACCAAGTTACTATGTTAACATGTATGTGTGTTACTTGGTAAAGTGTACCTTTACACTTTGTTTCTGTTTCTTTGTATTGATTGTGGCCAGGGATAAAAAAGCAAACTGCATTACCAAGACCACATTTCCTAATGGGCCACCATCAATGCATGACTAAGGCACCACATTTCCTAATGGGCCACCATCAATGCATGACTAAGGCTTATATTTACAAACATCTGCTTTTTTCTAAACACAAGACGTCACACACTTTTATCATGCAGTGCTTCAGAAAGGCTCCATCTGTAAATGGTCGGCCTGATATTGTAATCTCCTCTGCCACAATAAAACTTGCTTTCAAGGCTTTCCTTCCGTTTGTGATTTTGCTTTGGTGAAAAACGTCTGCTGTGATGTTAAATTCCTCTACCTTCCGTGGCTTCTGCTCTGCATTCAGGTTTTTAAACTCGTCTCGATGTTTAGTCTCATTGTGCCGTCTCAGATTATATTCCTTGATCACAGCCACAGTATCTCCACAAATTAGACATACAGGTTTACCGCCAATATCAGTAAACATACATTTAGCCTCTCTGCGACTTTGAAAGGCTATGTTTTCAGAATCAACTTTTCTCTTGGCCATTTTAAGGCTAGCTTTGATTTTTAAAAAAAAATGATTGTGCATCTACCCACAGACGCTTGATTGATATCACATTAGCTGTAGCGAGGAAAAGGTGATGTAATATCCGGGCACAACACTAAATCCATTTCTTATGCACCAATCCACAACAAGCAACTGAAAGTTGCTAGGTTGCTGTAATGACAAACATCCAATCACAACCCAACTTTTATTTTCGCTTATTCTGATCTAAGCGAGAATGCTCTCAGGTAGTCCATGGTTCGACAAGGCTGCTAATTAGGAATTTGATCTGCACTTTTATCGCAGGACCATTAAAGAATATTTTTGCCTAAAATTATGTCTTGGGCTGGATATAATTGTACGGCAGTCCAGACCTCTCGGGCCTGATATAATTGTACGGTGGGCTGGATGTCGCCCGCGGGCCATGAGTTTGACACATGTATCCTAGGGGGTCATGTAACAAAATATCAGAAATTTGAGTGTTTTTTTTAAAATGTTAATATTTATCTTATATGTAACACCTTTCATTTTAAATTGAATAATCAATTTGGGCTGCACCAACTTTGCAAATGCTATCATTATCAAGAGGTTGCTGCAATAAAAGGTTGACAATCGCCACAATAATTTTTAATATATGAATGTCTGGAATGTTTTAAAAATTGTAATCCTCATAAGCATATCACATGACTTTTCATAACTGCGGAGCAAGTATGCAGTCTATACAATCTACCCTTCTGCCATTCTGATAAGATTTCTTTTAATGACTTGAATGAAAATCTTTCTCTGGTCAAAGAATTCTGCTACTGTTGATTGACTAGCTCTTAAGAAGCTTACTACAGGGTCATGTTTCATGTCCCAGCTCTTTTTGGGTCTTTCATAGATTTGTGTTCCATGTTGTGGCCATCTTAGTGCTGTCCTGGGAAGTGAGCTTGGTGGTTTTCTACAGATATATCAAAGCGATCTCTGATAATTATCTGCTATTAATTATAGCATTTTTTACCACAGAGGTTGTTACTCTTGATTTGCATTTCAGTTCTTCATTCCATCGTCTTTGGTAAGGTGAGAGATTTGTAGACATTTGGTCTGGATAAATTCTAGCTTTCATTTTAATGTGATAGTGGCCTTCCAGTATAGAGGATGATCAAGACATTGTTACTGTCACCATTGCCACCTTTTGTGACCTCACTTCCTAGGTACTTACACTCTTTAACATCAAGACATTGTTACTGTCACCATTGCCACCTTTTGTGATCTCACTTTCTAGGTACTTACACTCTGTAATATCAAGACATTGTTACTGTCACCACTGCCACCTTTTGTTATCTCGCTTTCTAGGTACTTACACTCTGTAACATCAAGACATTGTTACTGTCACCATTGACACCTTTTGTGAACTCACTTCCGAGGTGCTTACACTCTTTAACATCAAGAAATTGTTACTGTCACCATTGCCACCTTTTGTGACCTCACTTCCTAGGTACTTACACTCTTTAACATCAAGACATTGTTACTGCCACCTTTTGTGACCTCACTTCCTAGGTACTTACACTCTGTAACATCAAGACATAGTTACTGTCACCATTGCCACCTTTTGTGACCTCACTTCCTAGGTACTTACACTCTGTAACATCAAGACATAGTTACTGTCACCATTGCCACCTTTTGTGATCTCACGTCCTAGGTAATTACACTCTGTAACATCAAGACATTGTTACTGTCACCATTGACACCTTTTGTGATCTCACTTCCTAGGTACTTACACTCTGTAACATCAAGACATAGTTACTGTCACCATTGCCACCTTTTGTGATCTCACGACCTAGGTAATTACACTCTTTTACATCAAGACATTGTTACTGTCACCATTGCCATCTTTTGTGATCTCACTTCCTAGGTACTTACACTCTGTAACATCAAGAAATTGTTACTGTCACCATTGCCACCTTTTGTGACCTCATGTCCTAGGTAATTACACTCTTTAACATCAAGACATTGTTACTGCCACCTTTTGTGACCTCATGTCCTAGGTACTTACACTCTAACATCATTGAGTGTGATTGTGTTTTTTCCTGGTTTTGATTTTAGACCCTGTATGGTCATAAAAACACACATTATAATAATAAACTGTGTTTTGAATTTTAAATAAAATCAAGGCATAAAAAACAAACATCACAAAATTCAGATTTAAAAATAAATTTAAACTTTTCATGAATTCCCAACAGGAATAGGGCGTGTGGGTGGACACTTGCATTGTATTGTCCTCTTACATTGTGTTGTCCTTTTACATTGTGTTGTCCTCTTACATTGTGTTGTCCTCTTACATTGTGTTGACCATTTACTCTTTGTTTTCCACCTGCATTGTTATTCACTTGCGTTGTGTTGTCCACTGCAAAGCTGTTGTTGGCATTTTCATCCAAAGGAATCTATTCACATTTTTTTAACTTCCATTAATCCACCTGGTTGTTAATTTAACTTAACACTCGTTTGGTTTGACATGAAAAAAAGGGGTTGAATGTTTTTATTCATACAAATATTATTGAAATGAAAATTGTTTAAAGTATTTTCCATTGTTGTCTATTTGTTAAAGATATTTGGGCTTACATTCGTAATATCAACAGGGATGAAATTTTATTGCCAAATAAAATTTTCTTTTATGATGTTATATGTGCTGAAAAATTAGTTTGTATGATATTATATTTGTATATGCTGAAAATAGTTTACATGATTGAATATGTTTAAATGTCTTAAAATG